GGGGAAATTTCCGACCGCCGATCGAGGTAAATTTCATACCCCCGACTCATTTTTCCCGCTGATCCTCCTATGGCCAAATTGAGGCCGAAATCCCGGCCAAACGGCCGGAATACGCGGCCGAAACCCAGCGGCGCCGCCGCGCCCCCTCTCGGTTTTTGCTCCGACGAGGTCCTTCCCGGCCTCCGTTCGATGCAATTTTTATATCACCGTGATCACCATTCTTTTCTCTACAGGTTGACTGAAGCCAAATCACCAAAACACGAACCTCGCCGGAGAGCCGCCGTACCCGAGAGCGCCGCCGCCGGTAAGCTCCGCTTTTCCGTGATTTTTTTTGGCCCCCCGAGGGCCCTAGGGTTGTTTTCTGACAAGGACCAATGCGAGTGTGGCCGAATTCGGCCGAAAACAGCCAACCCGAGGTGACTCGCCGCCGCCAGCGGCGGCGCCGTCGCCGGAGCACGGCGGAGCCGCCGTGCCGGAGTTGCGATTTGGGCCGAAAGAGGCCCTGGGCCTAATTTGGATTTTTTTTGGAACACGTGCAGGTACTGTTAGTGTGTTTCAGTTCCCCGGAAAAAATTCAGGGAAAATTAGGGACGGCCTGCAGGCGCACTGTGAATCGTATTCGGATCCCGAAAACAGGTAAGGACCCCTCACCCTATTTCCTATCACGGTATTAAAGTTCAAAATGATAAAACGGTATTTCTTAAATTAACGAATGTGTGAAATTGCTTAAGGTGGCTAATGGAGCCCGAGTCTAGTGTGATTGGTGATTTACTGTTATTTAGCCTGTTTACAGCTTTAAATGCAAAATGAGGTTTGATGTGTTCATTTTACAGATTTGTGTGCATATACTACGTTTTTATTAATCATGAGTTGAATGACTGAAAAGCTGATACTGTATGTTGTCTGTTCGGCATGAATTACTGTTTTGCTTGTTTGTATGTGAATTGATGATGCTGACTGAGGAAAAGGAAAATGAAAGATTGTGTAGACTGATAATTGTATTATGGGAGTCAGCCTAACTAGATATCCTGGGAGATGGTGGACGGACCAGGTCCGTAGGGAACCCTACCGGGATTGTGGTCTCACATGCCGGACGGGGTATGGAGATCTTATGGTTTTGGCGCCCATATCGGACGGGGTATGGGGACGGCCCGTTTCACCCTCATACCAGATGGGGTATTGAGGTTTATGGTTTTGGCGCCCATACCGGACGGGGTATGGGGACGACCCGTTTCACCCTCATACCGGACGGGGTATTGAGGTTCATGGTTTTGGCGCCCATACCGGACGGGGTATGGGGACGGCTCTGGAAACTGATTATGAATGTTAAAGGTTAACGGGTAGCGGAACCCCTATGGACCCCCACGGATACTAGTAGGCTGGTAAATGAGAAAAAGGTATGTTGTACAATGATTGAAATTTCAAGGGGCGTGATAAGTGTTATGTTTTACAGCTTATATTATTCAATGATTATGATAATGTTATTGTTTTTCTTATATTGTTTTCATAAATTCCACCGAGGTAAGTGGAGGGTAAAGGTTTTCATGTTAATAAACGAGTTTGTTGTAAATTATGCTCCATTGGTCTTTTGTGTTTTTCTACCCACCTTTACCTCCGTGACGGTGAGATATCGTGATGTTCTTACTGGGCTAGTGTAGCTCACTCCTTATTTAACCATTTCAGATCAGGAAGACATGGTTCCCGAGCCCGTTCCGCAGGAGGACGACGAAGGGGATGCCTAGAGACTCTGTAGTCATACTCATAGTTTTATTTTCGAGTTTATCTCTTAGTTAGTTTAATCTTTTGTATTTTAAGTACGTTTTTGATTTTTTTTTTTGTAAGGGATGTTAACTGAAATTTTGATCTCGCTTCCGCATTTGATATATTTAAATACTCATTTCATTTTAATATTTCCGGGGCCGTTACATACATAATATCACTGTACAATCTTATTATTTTAAAAATGTCATCTCATACATGCCTAACTAAATCTCTTCCATCTTTGTTTGTTGAATCTTCCATTTTTGTCAACGACGCGTTTATGCTTTTTACAACCTCTTTAATTTCTATCATTACCTCACGTTTCATGTCTCTTAACTTTTTCCATCTATATACATTTCTTACCATATTTGTAATGAGATAGTCGTCTTTTTATTTTTATTTTTCACAACTTCATGTGGTACGTTTCTTTTTCCTTCTACCAACCCCAAATAATTTAACCAACACAAGAGGCAACATCATCACTTTCAAAGAGTCTCTTTTATGAGCATCATTTGTTAAGTCACAATAGCTTCACCGCACTATAAGCAATACCAATGCTTCCAAAAGTCTTCACTACAAGTCTCTTCCATTAATGCTCCATCGCAATGTTATCTTAGCCCGTTCACCACAACAAACACTAACGTCGACAACTCTTGATCTCAATACGTGCCCTAAAGCTTCAAATGATGTTTTTCTCCTTATTTATCTTTCTCCTTATACATCAATATTTTTATTTCACTATTATCATTAAGTATGATAAATAATAATTTTGAGATTATTATTTAAAATGATTTAATACATAAAATATTAGAGGTAATTCATTATTCTAATCCTAATTATATGATTATCATTTTTAAATTACTTTAAACTTAATATCAAAATTGAAAAGGACAATGTACACTTAATTGTTGGACCAAATATATAAATGCGACATTATAAGTATATTTTATTCATATACAATTTCTGTTTTCATTGTTCACGAAAAGAATCAAAGTAGGTTAGCATAACTTTTGATTTTTTTTGGATAATATTCTATTAAAACTTTTTTAAAAATGACTCCCTTAATGAAGTTGGAATATAAAATCTACGTTAACTTAATATAATAAAATATAATACATAATTTAAAAAATTGATTTTGTCTAATTCACATAAAATCTCGTTTAAGTACGATGTCAAAAAGATTAGAGATAATAATTAGACTCAAATCAGTTGATTAAGCTAAGGTTAAGTTAATGTCATAGATTTAATTTTATGAAATCTATTATTAATACATTTTCAAGGAAACGTATTGATAAGTTTGGCGAGGGTTGGTTCTGGTCAGCTTTTTTCACCAGACAAGGACAAAGAGCGTTAAGTCTTTAGACACAACCAGCTCATTAGCTGGACTGCATAGATACGTGTCAGTGTTTAACGAATCTCCATGTGCCTAACGGCAGTATCTTCGCCGTACAAAAATCAACGGCCTAGATTTTTTCATTTCCTTCTTATTTATGTTTTATCGGTCTTATCGAATAATACGCCAGAAATTCCTCAATAAAGTAAAAGAGAAAATAAAAGGCGTTGCTCTCTTCTGAGGGAACAGTAACAAAAGAGCGAGGAGAAGAAGAAAATCGAAGAAGCTGCAGCGGAGCTCTAGAAGAGAGAACAGGAATCGTTTAGGGTTTTTTGTTCTCTTTTGAGGTTCTGAATTGGTTCAAGCCGTTGGATCTGATCGGAGTTTTGATGATTGGACCCTCGGACGAGTTGATCGGGCCTTGATTTTGTTTATTACTGTTGTTTCTTCTTTTCGTTTGAGAGGAGGAGAGGAGGAGGTCATGATGATCTCGTTGCAGAGCGGAGCAGGGGTTTCTCGAGCTCCGTTTATCTCTGATCGAGCCGAAGATGCCTTCGCTGTCAAAGCGGAGCCGTCTTCTGCACTCAGTCTCCAGCCGTTCAAGGGTCATGATTCTCATGAAGGTATCTTTTCAAGTTTCTGTATTTGTAATATTTAACTTTTCTATTGTTGCACAAGCTTTAAACTTTACTCGATTTAGGCTTATTCATTTAGACCTGTGGTGATTTCTTAATGTGTAATTGGGAATTTGATTGTTATGCATTATTATTTCTTTTGTGTACTACTACTTTCGGTTGACCTTAGAATTCCGTTTCGAGTGTATTTCTGGTGATTTTAATGTTGTTTTAAGTTGTTTTAGTTTGATTACAGAAATTGAGCTAGATCTAATTTTCATGTACATGTGTTTGTTGAATACTTTTACGTGGTCATATATTCGGGATTTTAGGGTTCTGTTTATTTATTTTAAAATCAGCCATACCGAAGCTATTTATTTTGCGTGAAAGACACACATGCTTTTTCCCCCCTTTTCACTTTGATCGTTCAATACTTCACTATTTGGATCTAGTTCTCCTAAAACTCGCATTGTTTTTTCAGTTGTTACTAGGTTGAGCATATGAAACTGTGTGAAGTGCAGGTTTTTGGAAGCCTCTGATTTATGTGATTATCATTTTCTTTGTCTTACTAAAGATTTCGTTCCTCCTTTTGCAAAATAGTTTTATAACGTGAAAATTGTAAATGTTTTGGAAATTTATGCATATTGGGTCTTCTAGGATCCTGAAGTCTTTTTCTTGTAAATTCTGTATTTATTCATGGAATGGTGTCTGATGAGATTGGTCTAACAGGTTTATTAAGTTTTTGAAATTAATTGATATTGATTAAGTTTCCATCTTGAAACCTTTATAATTTTCTGAATCATTATTTCTTGGAATCATTATATACCTTTTGCTTCCAAACCAATTGGGAAAAGCACCTTTCCTAATCTAGCGTATATTCTATATAAATAATGTATCATTTTTAAGTGATAAAAAAATTTTGTATAGAAAGATCAATCAAGATATTTCTAATTATTTTCTAATTTAGATTTAGAAAGCATTTTTCAGTTTTTGGAAGTATGAATTAGGATAGAAAAACTTTACCAGAAATTTCTAATTATTATTCTAATTTAGATTTAGAAAGCATTTTTCAGTTTTTGGAAGTATGAATTAGGATAGAAAAACTTTACCAGAAATTTTCTAATCAACTTATCTCTGGATCAACTAATAAGAGGAGGCCAAGATACTTTGATTTCTTTTGTTTTCACAAATATAATCTGTGAGATTACAATGTATTTTACATGTTGATTCTCAATTTGATGAATATTATTAACTTAATATAAATGCTACTTATTCAACAAAGTTGATTGGTTGATACAAGTTGATTTTCGGTTCGATAGATTGACGAAACAATAGCTGATCCAATAACTGCTTCAGGGGCTGCAATTGCTATAACAAAAATTGAGAATAAACCTATCTGCTAATTCAATAACTTTTCTATTTGCTTCTAGGAAGCAGCTTTTATCAAGAAAAATATAAGTACCTTCCTTTTGATTATTAGTTTTTAATATTGGTATAAAGTTCTTGTTTGCTTAACATATGTTCTATTACTCTCATAGCAGAAGATTTTGTTTTTTTTTTGGGGGTTATAACAAGCATCTTCATCAAAATATGTAACTGAATGCTGTAAGGTACTCATAAGCGCATTTTACAGAAAGTCAAAACACCCCATAAACCTCCATTGTTTAATAGTTGTCCAGATTTTAAGCACTCCATAAATGCATTTGGTTCTTATAAATATTGCTGATGCCCTATGTTGTAGTCGATGAGGATATGCACTTAGCCCTTGCTCATCAAATGTATAAAGCTGGCAACTACAAGCAGGCACTAGAGCATAGTATTGCTATTTATGAGAGAAGTTCACTGCGCACTGATATCTCTTCTCCTTGGAGCAATATACTATCAGGTTTTCTTCTATTCCCCTTTTTCTTTTAATGAATTGGTTTCTTAGTTGATTCTCGTTTCACTTTCTGGGAAATCTGATTTGAGTGCTGTTGAGTTCTTAAATATTTATAATAGTTTTATTTGTTTTCTTTGTAGTTGCATGATTATGATATGTGCATAGCTAGAAATGAGGAAGCTTTGCGAATTGAACCGCGGTTTGCTGAGTGTTATGGGAACATGGCAAATGCATGGAAGGTAGTTGTTGTTCAGATGGGCATTGCAGTAATAAAGTAACTCAAAGTTTTTATATGTTTATAGGTGTGATCTTTTATCGTGCGCAGGAGAAAGGAGATATTGATCTTGCAATTCGCTACTATTTGGTTGCAATTGAGGTTTGTTGCCTCTTTTCTTCTCTTGATTTTTTCTATTCTATAATGTGTATGATTCTCTGCGGGGTTATTTTGTTTACATTCTCTGATTTATACTTGAAATACTGCAGCTTCGTCCCAACTTTGCTGATGCATGGTCAAACTTAGCTAGTGCATATATGCGGAAGGGGAGACTGAATGAGGCAGCTCAATGCTGTCGTCAAGCACTTCAGTTGAATCCTCTTTTGGTATTTTAACTATGATACTCTTTTTTCTTTTAATACTCGTTATAAATGACAAATGTATGTGATATTTCTAATCTTTTACTTGCCTATTTCCACCAATTAAGTAGGTTACTTTTATTTTTTATCTTTTCAAAATTATTTTTCTTCTGACATGTTTGTGTACATTGAGTCTAGGTTGATGCTCATAGTAACCTTGGAAATCTAATGAAGGCACAAGGATTGATACAAGAAGTAAGTTCCTATAAATTTAATCTATATGTTGGGTGATTCCTCTTTCTACTGTTAGTTTGTGGGTTCTTGAGATATTGAACTTCAAGTCTTTTTGAAAAAGAAACAAGAAATGTGTTAACTTAAATTTGTCCATATATGCTTCAATGACCATGCTTGTATGGCTACTAGGA